GTATTTTTCAAGAACTTCATGAGAAGGAGTTAATTTTCTCTGAGCTACACCAGGTCTACATAATTCTATCTTCATTAGACGAAAGTTTTGATGACTACGTAACTTCCCTTGAAATATTGCCTAAAGAAAGCCTAACTTTAACTGATATCACTGGAAGATTGATTGAAGAGGCCAGAAGAAGACTTGAAAGAGATCAGTTAAGGAGGGAGCAACCTCAAAAAGAAAATAATGAATCTCCTACTGCATTTGCAATTAAAAAGTGCTTTAATTGTGGAGGGAGAGGACATTTTTCAAGATTTTGTAAGAAACCAAAGCGCCAGAATGCAAGCCAGAATGCTGTAAGCCAACAAAGAAGAAATAAGAATTATGAGTTAGCAATGTATAGTAATGGAGTTGTAAAAAATAATTTATGGGTGGTTGACAGTGGTGCATCCCACTGTATTACAAATGATAACAAAAAATTTGTAAAAATGTCCATGAGTTCACAGCATATCTCATTGGCAAACGGCTGGAAAATTAAAGCAAAAGGTGAAGGTATTGCACATTGTTCTTATATAAATGAGAACATAAAAATGTTATATGTACCTCAACTTAAATTTAATTTGCTTTCAGTTAGAATGTTGGTTAGATTAGGATACATAGTTACCTTTAAGGGAGATACTTGTTTAATTGAAAAAGAAGGTAAGAAAATTACTGCATCTTTAAGAGGTGACTTATATGTGTTAAATGATAATGGTTTAAAGTTGGCTAACACAGTTTACGATAATAAGAAACCTCATGATGAATGTATTCACTTGTTACACTGAAGGCTAGGTCATTTAAATTTTAAAATGATTAAGAGAACTGTTCAACTATCTAAAGGAATAAGTTTGAAACCTTGTAATAAGTATTTGCAATGTTCTGCTTGTAATCAAAACAAAAGCAAAGTTATACCGGCAAATAGAATTGATGGATTTACTACCAAAGAGCCTTTAGAGGTAGTATTTGCCGATATAATAGGTCCTAAAAAGCCAAGTGTAGGTGGTGCTCGATACATATTAAGCATAATGGACCACTATTCTAGGTATGGTTTCTGTTTTTTAATGAAGAGAAAAACTGAAACGTATACAAATTTCTTTAATTGGTTAAAATTTGCAGAGAGGAAAACTAAAAAGAAATTAGTAACTCTTATAACAGATAATGGTACGGAATTTACAAATAATAAATTCCAGAGTAGACTAAGAATGGCAGGTATTCAACATAAAAAGTCTGCACCATATAGGCCTCAACATAATGCATTTATAGAGAGACGAGGCCAAACACTGCAATCAATGGGAAGAACAATGTTATCTGATTCTGGATTACCTGACAATTTGTGGGGAGAAGCAATAATGTGTGGGAATCACATATTAAACAATGTTGTTAATTCAACAACAGGTGAATTACCATTCACTCTGTGGCATGGTAGGAAACCTGATTTGAGTTACATTCACACATTTGGTGCACCAGCATGGGTGCACATCCCTACACAACTCAGGCACAAAGGACAACATAGAGCTAAAAGATTAATTTTTGTTGGATATCAAGCAAACCATAGATCTTATAGATTCTGGGAACCAGGTACATCTAGAGTATACTGCAGTGCTAGTGCACAATTCCTAGAACATATAGGATGGAATAGATTAGAACAGGATTCAGATAATGGTGTTATTATAGAACCCTATAAGAGGCAGAAAGAAAAGAATAGTTATAAGAAAAGTCCAATTAAAGAAGAAGTCCATCAAGAGCAAATAGAACCAGATCAAGAGGAGATAATTGATCAAGAAGAGATAGATAGTCAAGAACAGGAAATAAAGGAAAGTCCACCTGTAAGTCCTGTTATACCTAGACGCACAACTCGTATAACTAAACCACCTGAAAGATATCAGGCAAGTATTGTTTGCCAAGTAAATAAAGTTCCTACTAGCATAGATGAACTTAAGATGTATCCTGCTAAGGATCAGGAGAATTGGCAAAAGGCAATGCAAAAAGAGTTAAATTCATTAAAGGAAATGAAGGTTTATGAAGAAACCAAATTACCTCCAGGAGAAAAATCCATTGGGTGCAAATGGATATTTAAAGTAAAGACTGGAAATAATGGGAAAGTAACTTATAAGGCTAGGTTAGTAGCACAAGGATTTAACCAAAATGTATTTGATTATGATGAGGTATTTGCACCAAATCTTAAGGCTACAACTTTAAGAGCCGCTTTAGTATGGGCAGCTAAGAATAATTATATAGTTAACCATTTAGACTTAGAAACTGCATACCTACATGCACCATTGCAGGATACAATATATTTGAAAAAACCAGTTGGTATAAATGATAATAAAGTAAATAGCAATGATTGTTGGAAACTCAAGAAGAGTTTATATGGATTGAAACAATCTGGCTATGAATGGAACCAATATATTGTGAAAGAATTAAACAATATAGGGTTTAAATCTGGTTTAGCAGATCCATGTATGTTTAAAAGAGAAAATAATGGAACAGTGTCATTATTGTTATTATTTACAGATGATATTGCTTTGATTACTAAGACCAATAATGAAGCTACTGAGATTATTTCATTATTAGCCAAAAGGATAAAATTAAAACATTTAGGTGAAATCAAAAAGTATCTAGGATTGACAATTAACAAAACCACAAAAGGATTTAAGATATCTCAAGAGGATAAAATTTGCCAATTAATTAAATTGTATAAAATGGAACTTTGTAAGCCTGCAAAGACTCCAATGAGTCAGGAAATTTGCAAAATTGATGCTCAAAGTCCCAAATTTGATAAGACCATATATCAATCTTTGATTGGTAGCTTGTCATATATAAGCAATTGGTCAAGGCCAGATATAGCTTATAGTGTTAATCAGCTGGCACGATATAATAATGATCCACATCAATGTCATTGGCAAGCATTAAAGAGAATTTTAAGATATCTTAAAGGAACAATGCATCATGCATTGTATCTAGAGCCAAAAGGTGATTTGAATCTTAGTGCCTATGCAGATGCAAGTTTTGCAACTGACATAAATACTAGAAAATCAACATCTGGGATGGCTATATTACTTGGTAAGACACTAATAGGGTGGAGGTCAATCAGACAACAGCATATTAGCTTGTCAACGATGGAAGCAGAATTTTCATGTCTGTCATTACTATGCACTGAATTAATTCTGTACAAACAGTTATTATTAGACATGGGTATAACTGTTAAAGATTCTATTATTGTGTACGAGGACAACCAGGCAGCTATACAATTAGCTACTAATATTGCTGTAAAGACTAGATCAAAGCATACTGATTTAAGATACTTAAATGTTAGAGAATCTGTTAAAAAGGTCTAATTAAACTTGAGTACTGCATGACGGAAGAAAATATTGCAGACCAATTTACAAAAGCTCAAGGTGTTGTAAAATTTAAAGAGAGTTGTGACAATTATGATTTAAAGGTGTAAATGGTTATATTATTGTAATATTATTATTATTACCCACTTTAGACGCTTTGGATAGGTTGTGACGGCATGAGGACTATGCTAATGAAGAAAAGATGGGAGGTAAATTTGTAAAGGCAATAGAGAATATAAGACAAACATATTGATGATTTAGGGGGTGTCCACTGTACCTGCATCTGTGTGGTTCACCCTCTTTGCAAAGTGAAGAATAAAATTACCACTGTTTTCTCTTGGAAGTTTTATCTGGTGATTGTTTATTTCAAAACTAGACAATGAATCCCACAGTCCCTATATAAATTCAATAAACATTCAATAAACAATTCTTTGCTCATCATACACAATTCAATACAAGTTTTCTTACTAGGATTTCCTTGTTAGTTTTTGCAGTAAATCTGCCACTGCAGCGGCTGCATTGAATTCTTGTAAAAAGATCAACTAACTCACACAATGTTAAATTATAAGATTGACATAAACAAGAAGAGAAAAGATACTTGTGATCAATACATTATTTATTATGGATTTCCCAATACAAGTCCTAGCCTTCTTCACTCATTGGTTTTTTTTTTCACTTGCAACAGCCTGTTGATTTCAGTTTTCAGCTTTAGGAAATAAACATCTTATATTTCACCAATTTTTGCTGCCTTTTCTGATTACCACGTTAATGTGATGCATTCCCTACCAGTACTAAATGCAGAAAAATCCAGTCCTAAACTTTCATCTCCACAACTAGTGCATCTAGTAGATTCAAAAACTATGGATCTGCAGATAAATCATGGGAAAATCCATGCTTTTTTTTTTTTTTTTTGCAAAAGAAGGCATTCAAAACTGTAGGATTTTTTAGTACGGTGTATCTTGATGCACAAGGACAAAAATAATATTTGATTTAATTGTGGCTTTTTTGTAAAAAAAAAACCTTTGAATTATTTTAGGGACAAGCATCAGAACTAATAACCGAAGGAATTTATTAACATCAGTTGATGTTTCTCTTGATGTGAGCTCATGAGTTATACGGGTAGTCCTTGACTTACAATCATTTGTTTAGTGATCTTTTGAAGTTACAACGGCACTGAGAAAACTGATTGTGGCCATTTTTCACACATGACCATTTCAGCATGGTCACACGCTCAAACGTCTGTCGCTTGGCAACATCCATGTATTTATGACAGTTGCAATGTCCTGGGCCATATGATCACCTTTTGCCACCTTCTGACAAAGTCAACGGGGAAGCCAGATTCACTTAATAAACGTGTTACTAACTTAACAACTGCTGTGATTCACTTAATAACTGTGGCAAGACCAAAGCGAGCTATTCCAAAACGCCACTTTTCAGGTTCTAAATAACTCCATATTCCAACGAGCTTTGCGGTGAGTTAATGCGAGTCGAGAATGAACGTCCTTTCCTTTTAAATATGGTCCCTGAGAGCAAGTGGGCGAAAAAAAATAGGAAATCAACGATAAACTCATTTTTCTCGCGGGATAGTTTACTCTCGCGAGATCCTTCCTAGCTCTTCTGTCAACAAGTCCCTCTGAGGGAACGCATGCGCAAATCCATTTTCCTCCTTGACCCTCTTCGAGTCTCAATAAAGTTTGCGTTCTCGTGGTTTATTTTGTTTCTTCTCGTTTTTGTTTCCAAGAGCCCCGCCTGTTCCTTGCACTTCCGGTTCAGTCGGTGTGTGGGGGGTGGGCCCGTCTGGGATGGTCCTGACGGCGACAGCGGCTGTCCTTGGCGTGGGAGCAGCGACTTGATGGTCTTTCCAGGTGAGCGGTGTTGGCAGTGGTCGGTCCCTCCCTGAGGGCCCAGCCGCCAGCTTATCCCTCTGCAGGGGCTGGTCGTCGCCCACCGGCCTTTGTTTGAAGGGTTCTGGTTGTTACCGTCGGAGTCCGAGCTCTTACTATGGGAGCCAGGCTGTTAGGAGGCCCAATGGAAGGCATTGGGTGCTGGGTTAAGAGGGTTTTTGACCTTATCTGTAAGAATTCACTTGTTTAGCCTTTCTTCTCTCCTTCCAAAAACCTTATCGGATCTGTTCAGGCAGTTTAATGCAGCATCCTGCTTCCAAGAGTGCCCATATAGCTAGAATATGAAAATGACCCCAGGATCCCGGCCATTTCATTTATATTTTATAGAAACGTAGCTGATGAATTTGCATTTTTAAAAATCGATGGCAGCACTTTTTTTCGTTGTATTGTATATATCTGCTTCCATATGCGCATGGTAATTGTTTCATTTTTGCAGTAAAACAGTTAATCTCTGAGTAGCAGAGTATGCAGTTCTGCTTCTCCAAGTGAGTCCTCCCTGCTGGTTGGAAAAAATATGTCTCCCATCAAGTGTTTTGAAATAAAAGTATCCTACTATGGCTCTTTAGTTCTCTGGTTTGTTTTTAGCTAACAGAGGTTTCAGTCTTTAAAACAGCATAAGAACAATCCTGCTAGATCAGATCAAGCCCACCTTAGTCCATTTTGTTTCTTATAAGCATCCAGATGCAGGGAGGAATAATAAAATGCAAACATTAAGTTTGTTCATTTGGATTTCTGAGGAAAAATTGATTTTAAAAACACTGCAACTTCTCTTCCTATTGTTTTCATTTTGAACCAATTGTTTCATTCAGTGGGACTTACTTCTAAGTAGATTTACATAGGATTACACTGTTGTATTCTGGTTTCTCCTCTCTCATTTTAAGTTATTAATTCCTCAGAAGCTAATCTACATGTGAGGCTATATATTCAATATTCCATGTAAGGTATTTGGGGGGTGACCCCAGAATGAGCTATACAAGGATTATTTTGTGCATTTATGAAGTTATCAAGTTCTGAAAAATTCTAAACTTACTATTTTGGACAATTCACCTTTTCAAAAACACAAAATAGCTATAGAATGCATGATTCTGAATGAAAATTGGAATGTTCTGAATTTGGATTTCACAGAGAAAAAATGTTACCCATCAGTAATGTATATTCTGTTAATTATCTTGACTAATTCTGTAAATTATCCATGTAAACGTTGAAATACAGGACAGTGGTGAAGTGGAAAATCTTACATTTAATTTCAAAAGCTATATTTTATACTTCTTGTTAATGTTAATATTGATTTGATTGCTGTGGTCACAGATTAATGCTGTTTGTAGAAATGATTGTGGCTCGTTAACGGCCTAAAAAAAACAACCCTCAGGACTATAAAACACTTCCATCTGATAATTCTAGCTGAATTATATATTGTTAGTCTAAATTATTGGTGTACAAACTTTTGGCTTGCCTGGGCTGCATTAACCGAAGAGGGAATTGTCTTGGGCTGCATATAAAATATATAGTTAAGGGTATTTTAATCACATAATGTTAAAAGTTTACGATCTTGTGGGTTTGAGAAGCCTGGTCTAAACAGACCATTGGTTTGACTTAACATAAAAGTGTATATGTTTTCAAACATGAAAAAATTAATTTCCATGGATTGAGCTATTTGTGAATATGTTTATATAATAAAATATTGCCTTTGAAAGAAGAGTAAAATTGGGGTAAAATAACTATTTTTTTATTTTAGTACTTATATTTTAGATTGAAGCTAGCACTAATGCTAACATTGGCAAGCAAACTGAAACGGGATGATGGTGTCAAGGGCTCCCGTACTTCCAACTCCACTTCTGATTCTACTAGAAGAGTGTCAATTAGAGATAAATTGCTTGTTAAAGGTAATGCACTTTCCTATTTAAATATATTTTGTTCATTTTTTAAAAAATTCAGTGTAATGTCACACAATTATCTGAGGGGTCCCTGGTGCTCTCTGAGCTTGCTTATTTTCTTGCAGATGTTTCATTGTCCAAACTCAATAACATCATCAGTAAGGAGTGCAGTGTGCTATCAATTGATATTCTAGTGGCTTGCCTCTCAGTGTTGGTGGGGGTAATCTTAGATATTCTTTGTTTGGGCTGTTTTCTGTTGGCATCTTTGGCAGTTGCTTGATTGGGATATTATTTACTTGATTGTAATTTTTAACATATTTCTTGATTTATATTGTTACTTCATTTGGAGATAGTGTATTAAAAAGTAAATAGGTTTGAGTATTGTAATGGAATGTTTCCTACAAATGTGTAGTTTAAGTTTTTATTAATTTTTACATTTGTACCCCACTGTAATCACTATAACTCTGGACAGTTGTTTGGTTGATTTCTAAATGTTGTAATAGAATAGAATAAAATTCTTTACTGGCCAAGAGTGATCGGGCACACAAGGAATTTGTCTTTGGTGCAAAAGCTCTCAGTGTACATAAAGTGATATAAGTGATAAGTCATGATCATAGTCATCATAAAAATACATTCATCATATCATAAGATATAACAATTAATCATAGTCATAGGAAACTAAATAAAACTATAAATCATAAAGATACAAGCAACAAAGTTATACCCTTTTCCCTGAAAATAAGACCTATCCTGAAAAATAAGCCCTAGCACGTTTTTATGTGTGCGCCTAATATAAGTCCTACTCCCAAAATAAGCCTTACTTAAGAGCCTGCATAGCCCCGTTGTGGCCATGAGCAAGCAGAAGAAGTGGGTCAGTGGTCATGGGTCCTGGATGGGGCTGCTGGTGCCATGGCCGTGGAGCAAGGCAGGTATCGGGGGCATCAGTGACCTGGCTGCCAAGGCCCTGAAGTAAATTGATGCGGGACAGCTCCATCCCCTCCTGCCTCACGGTGGCAGCACTGGCATGCAGTGTGGCTTCTACCCCATTGTGAGCAAGCAAAAGTGGGCACCCTGTACATGAAAAGAAAAATAAGACACCCCCAGAAAATAAGCCCTAGTGTTTGTTTTGGGACCCAAAAGAAAATAAGTCCCAGTCTTAATTTTGGGGAAAATACGGGTAGTCATAAATCAAAAGGAGATAGGTAATAAGCAGGATGAGAAGAATAGTAATACAGCCTTACTAATTAGTTTGACAGTGTTGTGGGAATTCATTATTTAGCAGAGTGATGGCATGGCGGGGGGGGGAACTGTCCTTGTGTCTATTGTTCTGGTGTGCAGTGGCCTATAGCATCGTTTTGAAGGTAGAAGTTGAAATAATTTATGTCCAGAATGTGAGGGGTCTGTAGATATTTTCACAGCCCTCTTTTTGACTTGTACTGGTCCTCAATGGAAGGCAGGTTGGTAGCAATTGATCTTTCTGCACTTCTAATTATCTGTTGAAGTCGGTGTCTGTCTTGCTGTTGCAGAGCCAAACCAGATACCGTGTTTCTCATATAATAAGGCTGGGTCTTATTTTTTTTTGAGCCCCGAAAAAATGGCTAGGCCGTCTTTTCGGGGGTGACTTAATTCCCCCCCCCTTGCATCTTCGGGCGGGCGGCAACGGCTTGGATGTTGACCTTGGCATTGGTGGGGCACTTCATATCGGGGTCAACGCAGGCAGCACCATATCCGGGTGTGCAACAAAAGTACTTCCTAACAGCAATCCCCCCCACCATTCCCCCCCATTTTGCATGTTTTAATATAGGCCTTAATTTGGGGAGAGGGGCTTAATTTCATTTCATGCCTATAAAACATGCTGGGACTTCCTATTGGGGGAGGCCGTATTGTTGGAGAAACAGGGTAGTTACTGAGGTACAGATGACAGACTCAATAATTCCTCTGTAGAACTATATCAGCAGCTCTTTGGGCAGTCTGAGCTTTCTGAGTTGGCGCAGAAAGAACATTCTTTGTTGTGTTTTTTTGATGCTTTTTTTATGTTAGGTGTCCATTTTCAATCTTGAGATATGATAGAACCTAGAAACTTGAAGGTCTCTACTTTGATACTGTATTGTCTAATATTGTAAGAGGTGGTTGTATAGGAGGGTTTCTCCTAAAATCTACCACCATTTCTATCGTTTTGAATGTGTTCAGTTCAAGATTGTTCCGGTTGCACCACAAAGCTAGTTATTCAACCTCCTGTCTGTATGCAGATTCATCGTCTTGAATGAGACCAATCACTGTATCATCTGCAAACTTCAGTTTAACAGAGGGATCTTTTGAGATGCAGTCATTGGTATAGAGAGAAGAGAAGTGGAGAGAGCACACAGCCCTTGAGGGCCCCCTCTTCTAATTGTACAGGTATCTGATGTGATTTTGCTTAGCTTCGCCTGCTGATTCCTGTCTGTTAGAAAGCTTATGATCCATTTACAAGTGTGGTCAGGTTCTATTTGCTCTGTAGGCAGATTGCAAGGAGTCTAACAGTGTATCCAGCTGTTTTCAGGTGGGCCAGCACTAAACTTTCAAAAGTTTTCATAACTACAGATGTCAGAGCAACTGGTCTGAAGTCATTAAATTCCTTGATGGAGGGTTTCTTCAGCACTAGGATTATAGTAAAGCATTTGAAGCAAGAAGGAGCATAGCACATCTCTAGTGATTTATTAAAGAAGTGGGTAAAGATGGGGGCCAGTTGGTCAGCACAAGTTTTTAAGCAAGAAGGAGTTATCTTGTCTGGACCTGGTGCTTTTCCTGGCTTTTGTCTATGAAATAGACCTTGCACATCATTTTCTGTAATCACCAGAGGTGGGGGGCCCAAAGCAGTCTGTTAATAGGAGACTTCGCTGTTGTTGGTGTGTCTGGGATAGGGTTTGTGGAGATAGGTAGCAGTAGTTTCCTCTCAAACCTACAGTAAAACACATTAAAGTCATCTGCCAGTTGTCGATTTCCATCAGCATGGAAAGGAGGTTTGCTGTAACCGGTGATACTTTTAAGAGTTTTCAAATGTTTACTAGTTCATTTGTTGAGAACTGATTCCCTAGCTTTTCAGAGTAGCTTGTTTTTGCTGCTCTGATCTCCCTTGTTAATACGTTTCTGACCTGATTGTACAGCATTCTATCGCCTTTTCTGTAGGCTTCCTCTTTGGCACGACGCAGCTGCTTAAGATTAGTTGTGAACCAAGGTTTGTTGTTACTGTATATTCACAGGTTTTTGGTTGGCACACATAGATCTTCACAAAAACTGACATATGATGTTACAATATCTGTGAGTTCATCCAACTCTGCAGAAGTATCTTCGAAAATGTTCCAATCAGTGCAGTCAAGATTTCATTGTTGGTTTTATGCTTTAAATCTTTGTCTATAAACAGGTACAAGGTGAATCATGCAATGATCAGAGTGTCCCACGGCTGCTCGTGATAAAGACCGATAAGCATCTTTTAATGTTGTGTAGCAATGGTCTAAAGTATTCTTGCCCCAGTTGAGACAGTTGACATGCTGAAAATAATTTGTAGCAAGTATAAGAGCAGTATATTATGGAAGAAAAATGTGTGAAATAAGTGGAATAGTTTAACTTTGAATAGAGAATAAAACGAAGGATATGTGCTGTCTGTCATGATAAAAATGACAACAAAAGTTGTAAGAGTTGGAAAATGAGATCTGGTCCATATGAGGAGATCTGGTCTGGAGCTGGTACCTCGCAGGGCAGGGTGAGGCTCGTCTCTCCCTGCTGAACAGCCCCAGTGAAGGAGGTGCGTGATTGGGGGGCTCTACCCCTGGCAGCATGTGCACGCCGTAACCCAGAAGAGCAAAGGTTGATGGCTGGTATGCCCAAAGTGGCTGTGTGCCACTTCTGGCATGCATGCCTTAGGTTCGCCATCACAACATTAAATGATTTAATCTCCAGACCCTTCATTATTTTTGTACACTTTCTAGGGTGTTAGAATATTTTTTGTATCATGGTGACCAGAAACTGGACATATTTCCAGTATGGTCTTACCAGTACGATAGAAAGTAATACCATATTTTTTTGTAATCTTGATACTATCCCTCCCTCTATTGATGCAGCTTAGGACTGCTTTGACTTTTTTGGCAACCACAGCACACTGCTGGCTCATACTTATTTAGTTGTCCTCTAGGACACCTAAATCTCTCTCAGTCACTGCTGTTGAGCCAGGTATCACATTTGTTTTTTCTTGTCTAACTCTACAATCTTGCTTTTCTCATCAATGGCATTCATTTTGTTCAATGGGGCACATACAGTATTCAAATTTGTTAAGATCATTCTGTACTTTAAGTCTGTCTATTAAAATGTTGGCTGTTCTCCCCAGCTTGATGTTGTCTGCAAATTTGATGAGTTCCCATTGTATCCCCTTATCTAAATAATTTGTGAATGAATTGATTTCTACTACTGTTTTTAGGCTGTGAGATTTGAAAATAGTTTTGATTTTTACTCTTCTGAAATTCTTTTTGGACTCTGATAATAGAAGCCATGTGCATATAATGTAGTAAATAAATTCTATACAGAAAATATATTCTATTCTCAAAGTAAACAGTGGCAATTATATTTTACCTTGTATGATATGCTACTTTAATTATTTTAATGTTTTATTTTGTATAATACTGTTATGACTTACTATACTGATTTGCTGTTTGATTAAAATTATTTTGTTCTTGCTTACTTTTTAAATTAAATCTTTAATGAATTGTTTTATATTGTGTAGTAGTTTGATTGTTTTTTGTTAATAGTTTACTATGCATTATAATGTAGCTGAGATATCTTTATCAAAATGGTAAATAAAATTGACATTGACTGATATTTTTATTTTGTTTTTAATAGAAGTTGCTGAACTTGAAGTAAATTTACCTTGTAAGTATGGTTTTAGCATATTTTTAAGGATTATTCAGATCCTAATTTTTCATTTTTATGTCACACATTTAAGATAATTGAGGAATATTTACATAAGCCCTTCTGGAATTGTCATTTGTTGTAGATGGTAATTAAGGGAGGTTACAGGTAGATATTACAATTCTTTTATCCTCAGCTCTTTTGGGGGGAAATTGTTCTGTTTCCTTTCTTGCATCTTCCTCCTTTCTTGGGGTATCTTGAAAAAAGCTTAACATTTGACATTCTGATTCATCAGATATCAAACATTTCAGTTTTTTAACTGTAAAGGTTTAAACAAATGATTAAATATTATTGAAATGAGTTATTGGCTTTAATCATGCCTAATGCTTCAGGATGTGAAATTTGTGTTGCATATTTTACTCTTTGAAATATCTGTGTATATTCACACATAAGTAATATATGAAAGCAGTTTATGGCATTTGTAAATAAAAGAATACTCAGGTTCCTAAAGGTGACGAAGGGGATTGTTTACATTTTACCAGAAAACTAATGCTATGATTAGAGGTTATAACCACAACTATGACTAGAATTTCTGTTACTAAGCAAAGGTAGTTGTTAAGTGACTTGTGCCTGATTTCACAACCTTTTTGTCATGGGTTTTAATTGAATTGCTACAGTTGTTAAACAGCCACTTTACCCCCATTGACTTCGCCTGCATGAAGCTGACTGGCAAGGTCACAAATGGCAATCATAACCCAAGGATTCTGCAACTGTCATGTCGGTTGCCAAATGCCCAAATTTTGATCATGTGGTCATGGGAATGCTGTGATGGCCATAAGTCATTTTTTTCAATGCTGTTGTAACTTTGCACTGTTACTAAATGAATGTTTGTAAGTCAAGGTCCATCTCTACTATATTTTGGACCAAAATTTTGGTAGTAACTTTAAAAGCATAAACCACTTTGAGGATTGTTTTCTGAGTTCCTTAATATACTCAGATGGATGCAGGATACAGAAACCTAAGTGAAGATCTTTTTCTGGTTGAGCATTCCATCTTGCAGGGCTCGCTATAGAAAAATATGATTGAGTTTGAGAATTATTGTAAGAGATAGTTTTTATGTGTATAGGCCTTTAAAATATTACATTTAATGGTCATTAGTCCGCATTATCGCTTACAGTCTTCACATTTTGTTTTGTTTCTATATTTTCTTTTCTCATCCTGATCATAAACATTACAAATTGTCAATTATTTCAGATTTTTATGTTTATTTTCAGGTACATGTGAAGTGAACTATCCTGACCCAAATAAACTCCATTTCTTTCTTCTAATTATAAACCCAGGTAATTAAAGTGTGTGTGTGTGTGTGTGTATTAAAAACTCTGATAACTTTAATTGGTCCTAAGCACAGAATATATTCAAATATTCACCTGCTAAATTGTTTAGGTAATTTTAGGACTTTATTCTGTGTGGCATGAGCAAACTCCACTTTATACTGTGTGGAACTTCCTTCATACTCTCTTCCCCACTATATATCAAATCTCCTTTAGAGGTTAGTTTTTCCTCTGAGCAGATTTGATGGGTAAGCTGGGTGGGCTGGAACAGGGAAAAGGAATCTGTTCCACTGATGATATTCTGTGTTTATAAAGATAACAGTGGTGACACTGGGTGCAACTTCTAAGGTAAAGGTATAACACTGAAATAGTAAAATACATTTATGAGGTAGAATATATTCACAGTACACCCCCATTGAAATATTTGATAGTTTTAAAATATTTCAACAAAAAGGAATTTGATCTTCTACTCATTCAAAAGAAGATATAATAAATATCTTACAATTTACATTTTACACTCGTATCTAGTTGAAATAAACATAATGCAATTTTTTCATGTGGAAAAAGCAAGTACATATTCACATTGATTACTACTTCAAATATCAAAAATTACAATCGTATATACTAGATTAGAACATTACAGAGCTTCTGAGAAGAAACTCTTATTAAAACCTCAGGCATTTATTTTGCTTTAAATTGGAAGTGTGCCTATATCAAAAGACCTCTCTGAGGTCTTCAGAAAGAAGGATATACCTAATTAATTAATTTTGCTGTCCATTTCACTGTAGGACTACTCTGGGCAGTTTACAACAATAAAATGGGGGAAATGATAAAATATGTAAACATAACAATAACAAAGGAATAAAACAATGGAAATAAACAATGGAAGTACAGTAACATGAAATTAAAAAGATGGGTGGAGGAGAGCAGGAAGCACAGTGGGGATGTGGTATCAGCAAATTTATCTAGTAGCCACCTCCAGTAATATACTGCCCTATTGGGTCTCCAGGCCAACTGGAACAGCCAGTTCTTCAGGCCCTTGAAGAAGGATAGGAAGTGGGGCGAACCTCACCCCAGAGAATGTTCTAGCAGAGAAGGCTCTTCTGCATTCCATCAGTCAGTTCTTCTGCATTCCATCAGTCAGAGTTCCTCTGCCAGCATAAGTAGGGTGAGACTTCATGCAGAAGATCAAACCTTGGGACTGAGTCACTAGTATAAATCAGAGGATTCTGGGAGAGCAAAAAGATGCACTGAGCTGCATAGAATTGGGACTCTGTTCCAACTAAAAATCTAAAGCAGGAAGCCTACAAGAGAATATCAATTTGCATCTACACAAATCCTGAAAAGCCGTGGAGAAATAGGGTAGCACCATTGTGACCTGCAAGTTGTATGTTATCTTTATAATTCTGCCAATGGAGGACACAAATTGTACAAGTGCAAACTGATCAGGTTCCTAGAGGAGAAAGTTTAGAACAGAGGTGGGCAACTATGGCCCTTTTATGAATTATGGACTTCAACTCCCAGAATTCCTGAGCAAGCCATGCTAGCTCAGGAATTTTGGGAGTTGAAGTCCACAAGTCATAAAGGGGCCATAGTTGCCCACCTCTGGTTTAGAAGCTTATCTACCCACTCTTGAGCCTCATTCATGAAAATGAATACCTCAGAAAGGCAACATCCATATTCAAACTAAATGCAGCAAGGAAGAAACTACAAGGAAAAATGAAGCCCTAGAGGAAGACTGATTGCAACATGTCACTCAGAGGGAAAAAAAACAACCCTCAAGATTGTCCCTGCCACAGGAGTTGAACAATTGATTTCATATCCTCCCGCTGGAAAGAAACACAAAGACAGGAGTAGGAGTGTGACAGGAAGAAAAGTAACTCAGATTGTCACAAAGAGGAAGACTTCGCCGTCCAAAAAAGAAAAAGGCATTTGGTGATGACTCACTTCTTGGAGGAATAGAATAGAATCTCCAGTTTGCAGCCAATCTATCAATTTATCTCCCAGGTGCAAAGATCAAAGAAGAGAAGCTTACCCAAATGATTAAGCCCTCTAATTATTATTCCTTTCTCTTTCATGTTGGGATGAATGATACAACAAAACAATATCATGAATGGCTAAGGGAACTTGGTATGTTTAGCCTAATGAAGAGAAGGTTCAGGGGAGACATAGCAGAAGTCCTCTAATACTTGAAAGACTATCATAGGGAAGAACGCATTGATTTATTCTCTATAGCACATGAAGGCAAGACAAGCAGTGGATGGAAGCTCATCAGAAATAAGGAATTTCCTAATAATAATAACACTAAATTGATCGAACAACTCATTTCCCTGAGTTGTGGGTGCTCCATTGCTGGAGATTTTTGAGAAAATATTGGAAAACCTTTTGACTAGAATGGTATAAGGACACCTGCCGTGAGCAAGGGATTGGACTAGAAGACCTCCAAGTTCCCTTCCAGCACTAGAATTCTATGATTCTAGTTTTGTTCTGGTCCTGAGTGTGCACCGCTGTTGTTATATTAGGGAATATCAGTGGAGGCAATGGAGCTTTCTGGATGTTGTAGAAATGGGCAGACCAAATAGTTACTAGTCAAATGACTAATTTGAAAATATCTGAACAGTGATCTATGAAATTTGGCAAGCTGCATCCCCTTAGAATATTATGAATATTATAATCTACCTTGTCTTGGTTAAAGAAAAAAATCCAAAAGTTATTGGTTACCAAAAAGACCTTAGGATGGTAGAATACCAATTTATCTTAAAAGTGAGTGAATTGAAAAGTGAAAATATTTTAGTACTTTAAAATGGAAATTGTAAAAGAGCACATTTTACAGGTAATCCTCGACTTAAATAATTTCATTTAGCAATCGTTTGAAGTTGCAACTGCACTGAAAAAGTGACTTACACCAGTAGCACTCGCATTTAGACTTATACAGCATTTCATAGTGCTTTACAGCCCTCTCTAAGTAGTTTACAGCATATTGCTCCCCAACAATCTGGGTCCTCATTTTACTGACCGTGAAAGGATGGAAGGCTGAATCAACCTTGAGCCAGTGAGAATCAAAATGCTGTCAGTCAACAGAATTAGCCTGCAATATTGTATTCTAACCACTGCGCCACCACGGCTCTTATGACCGTTTTTCAAACAACCATTTTAGCATCCCCATGGTCACATGATCAAAATTCAAATGCTTGTCAACTAGCTCAGATTTATGACAGCTGCAGTATCCCAGAGTCATGTGATCACCTTTTGCAACCTTCTGTCAAGGAAAGTCAGTGGGGAATAGCAATAGACTTATATACCGCTTTATAGTGCTTTACAACCCTCTCTAAGCAGTTTTTACAGAGTTAGCATATTGCCCCCAATAATCTGGGTCCTCATTTTACCCACCTCAGAAGGATGGAAGGTTGAGTCAACCTTGAGCCTGGTGGGATTTGAACTGCTAAACTATAAGCAGCCAATAGTCAGGAGAAGTGGCCTGCAGTACAGCACTCTGACCACTGTGCCACCAAAGCCAGATTATTCACTTAATAACTGTTTTACTAATGTAACTGCTGTGATTCACTTAACAACTGTGGCAAGAAAGATTGTAAAATGGGGGAAAGCTCGCTTAACTGTCTTGGTTGGCAACAGAAATTTTGGATTCAATTCTGGTCGTAAATCGAGAACTACTTGTATTACGGTGGAATCGGGTGTGCAGGTACCCTTGCAGGGAACAATCAGATATACAGTGCTACCTCAGTACTTGAGCACTTCAAAACTCTTCAAATTTGGTATTCAATGCATTTTGATGTGAAAATGTCCCAGTACTCTTCATCACTGGCACAACATTCAGTACTCCTGGAACCAATTAATAATGGGTATCAAAGTACTCAACTTCAACAGCAAACAATAGCATCGTCATAGTCCTATCACAGGTCCCTCAGATGTCCAATCCTGTATAAGATGACTACAAATTGCAGTCAGATCCAGAATAGCTTGCGCATTGCTAGAACCCATGTTGCTTCATTCTTATTCATCACTCCCTCAGGCAAGCCAAACCTGTCCAGCTTCTTTAATGTTCCTCCTAGAACTTGGTTTCTAGACTCCTTATCCTGGTAGCTATCCTTTGAAATGAGTCCAGGTTTCAGACTGCAGTAGCAAGAACTAATTATATTGGCAGTGTAACATCTAAATGGAGTGTTTCTATTCAATGTGGCCCATGATTGCAATGGAGCTTTTGCCTGTAATATTGTATTGATTTTTTTATTCAGTGGTCCACTTATAATAGTTTTACATGCGCTGTGAACAAGTCAGACCTTCCCATGTTCAAATAACCATTCAATTTTTTTCTGCCAGGGTTTAAGACTTTACACATAACAGAATAACAGAATTGGAAGGGGCCTTGGAGGTCTTCTAGTCTAACCCCCTGCTAAAGCAGGAAACCCTACACCATTCTGGAAAAATGGCCATCCAACTTCTTAAAAACGTCTAGTGATGGAGCACCACAACTTCTAGAGGCAAGCCATTTCCTTGATTAATTGTTCTCACTGTCAGGAAATTTCTCCTTAATTCCAGATTGGCTTTGATAAGCTCCCATCTGTTACTTATTGTCCTGCCCTTGGGTGCTTTGGAGAATAGATCAATCCCCTTTTCTCTGTGACAACCCCTCAAATATTGGAAGGCTGTTAACATGTCACCCCTTGTCCTTTGTCAGACTAGGCATACTTGGTTCCCGCAAATGTTCATCATACAGTTTAGCCTCCAGTCACCTAATCATCTTTGTTGCTATTCTCTGCACTATTTCTAAAGTCTCAACATTATTTTAATGTCATGGTGATCAAAACTGGATGCACTATTCCAAGTGTGGTCTTACCAGAGTAGTATAAAATGGCAGTAACATTTCTTGTGATCTTGATATTGTTCTCTCTGTTGATGCAGCTTAGGACTGCATTGGCTTTATTGGCTATCTTCTAAAGCAGAGGTGTCAAACTCAATTTCATTGAGGGCCGCATCAGGGCTGTGGTTAA